TCTGTCTCATCAGCACATTATGTTTACATGCAAACAAAACTTTTGGTGGCAAATCTCAGTGTTCATTGATATTCAGAGATCAAAGTCATATAGATCCACATCATGCATGCTAACTTGTACATTTTGTGCCAGAAACTATGACAGCAGTATTTTTGTGGGGGGGGGGGGGGTTTCCAGCCACCTTGACTTCTCCTTGGTTGTTTTTAAAAATGTAAATATAAGCTAAAAAAAAAAAAAAAGGTTACCTCGCTAAGAGGTAAAATAGTTATAGCAGAGTCCTTTAAATCTAGCCTAACACTTCTTTAGCCATGCCCTTTTGAATGTTGATCCTGGGTATAGTTCATATAGCTATAGACCATCTTCTATATGCATTAATCTCTTTTCTAATGACAATATGATGACAGAAGACAGAAATACATATCAGTTGGTTTGGGAGTGCAGATCCCTTCTGGCCTGTGTCTTCAGACCAACTAACCAGAGAAGTCCAACTAAAGATGATTGCCAGTATAAAGCAACTGACCCTGAAAGCAAGTCAAATAAAGAAAACCCACATCTCTAATTTCAGAATGGCATCCTACTTAAATTCCCCTTTGCCATAGCAATTTTTAAACATATCAAATCTAGCCTTCAGAACCAAATACAGGCATGAACTTTGTAGCAAGGAAAAACCATCGTTAGATGAGGGGAGAAAGGAAGAGAATGCACTGAGGAGCGCTCTGCTAAGCCTGTGCATTGACCCATTACTAAAGTCTGGCCTCACTTTCTGCACAAAGCAGCTTCTACTGTCTGAAGCACAACGCTGCTGCTGTTATTACCAAAGAGGTCATAGATAACAGCCCTTTCATGACTTTTTGAGATCTGCCCAATGCTCACAGACAATGTGGTGGTTCATTTCACTTTACTTGCTCACACATAGGGGAGGGATTTGACATGCATAATGAGGCTTTAAATATCATCCTGGCTCTTAGCTGAAAACTTAGTTGCAACTTCGCACAAGTCCTTCTTTAAGAGCATCTCTTCAGATGCACAAGAGGAAGACAGCCTCCAGCATTCGATGCAGCTGCTAATCTGGGGCTGTAAATCAAATTGGCAGAGCCACTACCTCTCATCCTCCGTCCCACATAAAAGCAGCATAGCTGAGTGAAGCATATTGATGCCAGCCCCTGGAGTGTGTTAACAGTCGTCCAACTGGACCAACGCCTAGCAGTGCTTCTGGACGCTTCCTGCCATCGCAGGCACAGAGGGCTTAGCAGTGGCTCATCAAACCCACTGTGCTGTGAAAGGATGACAGCGTGAGGCCTGTAGATTAAAACCACTCAGCGCTCTGACATTGCAAAAGAAGACCGAACGCACTCCATAACCAAAGATTTAACAAAAATCATCTTTCTGGGCCATGGCCGGTCTGTTTGCACGACTGAACTCAAAGAAATAACCAAAGGGAAATAATATCTGTTCTCGAAGCAGTAAGCTCTCATCCATATTTGATAAGTTCTACTTGTAGCATTACCCATCTACTGGACAGCCAGAGCTACATTTCTGGCTGTCCACATTTCGTGACATTAGAACCACAATCTCCTGTGCATATGGAGCAATACAAACTAGCGTATAATTGTAAGGTGAAAAAACTACAGGGTTGTCACGTTTTCCAAATAAAAATCTGAAAAGTAAGAGTTATGTATCTTATAACTACTTTCCCTGACCCATTATATCCATAAATTTCAATTTGTTTGACTAATAGTGGTTTTGTTATAAAATTCTTACACCTGAACTGTGAATCTGTCCAACTGTAGCTTAGACTTGTTCTTAAGAGTTACAAGACAAATCACGTTAGCAACGTGCTCTTGAGAACTACAGCAGCAGAAGCTAATCAGTTACACAACAGGACTGCAACCTTTTCAGTGAATACTTGTACCCTTTTACAGCTCTTGTATGCGGGCAAGCTCTACTGCGTCCCGCCGTCTCATATGGGAGTAAACAGATCAATAGTCTCACCTGAGACGTAGATGCTCACCTTCTCCTAACAGCGGTGATCAAGCAATATCTGTAAATCCCCCTCCTTTCAGCTGCAGCCATAATGACACTAATGGGCAGCAATGGTCTCAAGTGACTCTTTATTACAGTGATTAAGCCAGCAACATCAAATATAATGTTCTAATCTGATTAAGAGATGGACACAGATAAGTGGGAGAGGGGCACGGAGGGAGCCAGTGAAACAAAATAATTTTTCATTGCTTGTAAATCCAGAGTCCAAATTGGAATGATCTGGATGTCCAGCCAATTTTGATGGTCAGGAAACTTTTCCTCAAATGTGCGCATTTTAATATTTGCTACCAAGATTTAGACCAAAAGTGAATTCTGATTAAGTTGATTTCTGCATCGCTTTCAAAAAGTGGACGTCATGTTTTCAGATTCTTTCCAACCAAAAGAAATATAAAATATTGCACCTCGGCTGGGACATTTATATGATGCAGACCAGCCCAAAAATCAATCCTCTCCCCAGAGATGGAAGCTGCAGTGACGGATACCATCCTTCCCCCACGCCTTGCTGTGAGACAAGAGTGCCACTTTGTGTGTGTGTGTGTGTGTGTGTGGAGATCTCACTTCATTTAGCACTGCACCACAGGGGAGCCATGGAAAATCACAGAGAGACACGGAGAGAGAATAAACAAACAAATCAAAAGCATTAAACCAAGCAAACACAACATAGGAGGCTTTTTTAGGGACCGTTAAACCTCCATTATCCACCTGAAATTAAATCTCTTTTCAGTCGACTCCTGTTTTGGGGGGTGTACTAAGCTCAAGTTTCAAATTAGAATGTGAGAGTATTGACAATGATGTTATTCTGCAAAATCCTTGTTTTGTTTTCAAGGTAATGCAGAAAATGTCTGGTCATTTACTTTGCTTGTGCTGTTGTAACCAGAACACTTTAGCATTTAAGCACTTTAAAGACATAGCCTACTTCCCCCCAAAATAATTACTTTTTTTTTTTTTTTGACGATTAGCACTTTTCCAAAGAGAGAAATTCATATATATCCATGTTATGTTCTGGCTTTGTCAACTTTTAATTAACTTGCAGCATTTATCAACAATGAACCTGTATGTATTTTACAGAAACCCCAAGAACGCTTATGTTTTGGAAAATCTTGGGAAAAAAATAAATAAAATAAAAAAATCGGTTAAGATTTCAGGAAGAGAACTGCTGTGGACTTAAAAAAAAACAGTCTGGTGTGTGTTCATGTTTAGTCATTCTATTAAGGATGTGCTTATAAAACGCTCATATCGTATGTAAAATGCTTGGCTAATATTTTTAGACTATACTGTCTACATTTATTTCCAAATAGAAGCATTTGTCCTTTGATCTGACCTGAATATTTTAACATGTTGATTTTTAAGTATAATTTGACCTCAGTTTAACTTGCAGCTAAATATTTTATTAAGTGTGTGGAAGGAAGACTGTCTGCAGACGGATAGGTTTTATAGCAATCTGTTTCACTACCAAGGCTCCATAAAAAAATATGTTTTGAAAAGGAAATCTATCTTTTAGCTTCAATAACATGGAGCATGTGCAGCCTATGTGATGTTTCTGTTCTGTGGGAAAGTGAAGCTGTGGCTGAGTAGCTCAGGTGCATTTATGTCGTCTCACGCTTTCATGTTCAGCTGGGTTATCTAATGACTGAGTGGCTGCAGCTGTGAAATGGTGGGTGGGATCAGATCGGAGGTACAGAAAAAGCTTGAAAGACGTTGACAAAATTAAATCCTACGGAATTAAAAACATACTTTAAAGAATGAGTTTTTCCTTCTTTGTTATCGTTAGTCATTTTTACTCTAAAGTTATATTTTTTATTGGCATGACGAATATATTCTGCTGTTACACGCAAACCAGAAACCTAAGGCTGAGCTGTTTGTATGCTTCTGTCAGAAACCGGAGTGCAGCACAGATCTTCTATTCTAGGATGACATTTCAAATGAATAGATTGAAAACGACCATAGAAAATGTGAAGGTTACTCTAAAAATAAATGAGAAAAGCTCTAAATCCAGATTGTGGAAGATGAACAAAGTGCAAAAGTCAGTTAACACATTAAATCAAAGTTTATTTTTGATTGTAACTAAGAATACTTAGAATCAATATACAATAAATTGTGACAAAGTTAATGCAAGGCGATGGTAAAAAATGAATTCATGAAGTTAAGATCCATTCTTGTAAAAGATTTACTGGGGCAAAAATATTTCAATAAAACTCAATTTGGTGCAACAGTCACTTTCTCAGAGTTTCATCATTTCTTGCTGCTAACAACTTTTCTCTTTTAAACCCAATAAAGAAACGGCTTATAATTATTAAATGTAACAGGCTGCAACACTGACCCAATTGCATTATAGTCTGCTTTCTAAACCCTTTCACTTCATTATTGTTAGTTTATATGCAAGTTCTGCAAAACAAGTCAAAATGGATAAGACTAACTAAAATAGTTTTACTTTAAATACCATGAAAAGTACAAAAACACATGTACACAAGGAGTTTGATTTATCAGTGGTAATGGTGGAATATTTTTCTATGACTGCTTCCACTCCTTTGCACTTACCTTTTCAATTTGATCGACATTGTGATTGCAGCACTCTGATGAGCTGACAGTTTTGAATCCATTCTCCAGAGATGGGAATATTCTTGGCCTTTCACTTTGATCAATTATCTTTTGAGTGTGTATGTGAATGAGAGGAGGAACCTGGTAGCAGTCTGGAAAAAAAAAAGAAACCACAAAGGGAATAAAAATGAACCTCAGTCCTGTAAAAAAAAAAAAAAACCTGAACATGAACATGAATATTTAAAAAAAAAAAAAAGTCAGATCTGAATTTTTTATTGCCGCTGTCAAACCTGGACATTAAGTACTTGGGGTCTGAGCCAACTCTTTGTCTGGAATTTGAAAGGACTTCTGGTTTTATGGTTAGATTTATTCTATTAGTTTATCCTATTTGTACAGAACAAACACAAACATTTGCATTTATTATTAATGCAGAGGTTTTTAAAAGCCCCTTCATGAGGAAAATTGTTTTCACATAACTCTACTAGCAATTAAGAGTTTCTTACTCCAATAAAATGACTTTCTAAGGTTAAATATATATATAAAATGTGTGCCAGGCATTATAATCAAAAGTAAGAATCCTAAATCAGTGGTGACAGACTGAGTTATTATACTGCAACTTTCAGATTCATCTCGTCTCCAAAACACCTGAATGACTGAATGGCTCGTTACCAGGCCTCTGCAGAGCTGAATGACTGCTGATGAGCAAATTCAGACATTTGGTTCAGACATCTGAAAGTTGCATCCATTACAACAAGACTGTTATTTGAAGGCGATGATGTTCCTAGCAAATCCCCTCACTCATTTGTATCAGGGTCAGTTTAACCTTTGGCAAAAAGAACATGCTAAAAATACAGATTATTCTTGAGAAGTTCATTTATTTCAGTGACTCGGTTCACCAAGTCAAAGATTAACTAAACAGTGTTGTTTTCAAGCTTTGATTTGGTGAACTATGACAATTTTCCATGTTTTGCTAATGAAAAAGCAACATTTAATAAAGATGTTATGCATTACCCAGGTGAATTTTTAAAAAATCAGAGGGATTTATAAGTTGTTCTTGAGACCACCTGGCAGATTCATACAGTCACTTAATTTTTGATCAAACGTAGATCAATCTGAACTATAACAAGATTTAACAAATAAGATAGTAAGAAAACAATTTAATGAAATTGAGACAATGGCTCGATAAGGAACAGAGGATGTCTCTGCAGTCACATTCGTCTTTTTGTATTTTAGGACGATGCCAAGCTCTCAGATTACAACCAGAATGGTGTTTCTGATCCTTACGATGTTTGATTGTTACTTACATTTATAATGTAGCTTTAAATTCTTTCTGACCACAGATTTGAGACATCATTATGGCCATATCAGTTCTAAATCTGCTAAGCGCATTTTGTGAGGATCAGTTTTGCATATGCCTGGCTCTTCATGAGGCTTTTTCCTGCTGGCTGGAAACAACAATGATTGTTAAGCAGTTCTCTTTTTTTTTTTTATTTGGGCAAATAATCCCTTCAATATATCCTCACTAGCTTCATTAACTTGGACATGTCCAATCAAGATAAGGGGAATTGCTCTGTGGGATCAAAACAAACAAGAGTGCTGCAACAAAGTCCTTTTTGCAATTTAGTTATCAGTGTGTAAGCTTAGAACTTAGCAATTATATTTTAATGACTACAGAAAGCTTTAATATTAAAGAAAATCCAGTCAATTTTAAATTTAAAGGAGTAATTTGATTTGCTATGAAATAAATCAGAACCTAATCTAGTTGGGTGGGTAGAAGAGGATTCTGAGAAGGTGTTTCTGAAAGACTGTTGATTGTTTATGTAGAGGATAAATTTGTAACTGTCACAATGATGCTTTCATATGCACCTATTTGACCATATTTCAGTGGCTGAATCCCACACACAGACCGGAGATAGTTACTGTTCACAGACACCTTGAGAAACAATGCCAGGTTTATCCACTTTGTTCCAGGATGTTGCTGAATCAGGATGGATGTGGTTCAAGAATCTACAGTAAAAATCTAACTATTGAGGAATGGCAGCCCTGCTGAGAGTAGACCAGTCATGATTTTTGAAGTAATGGAGAATGTAGTTATATTCTTTTATGATAGTAATCTGACATATTTTGATCCTTATTTGCCATTCCAAATACCCTATATGTAAATCTAAGAAAGCTGGTTCAAAAGCTGCACTCATATTTCACACAATTCATAATGGATTATAGAAATAAAGTGGGTAACCAACATTTTAAGCACAAATAAATGGGTTGGTTTGTGCAAAACTCAATTTTTATGAGGAAAATGAATATAAACCTTAAATCCAACATGTCTCTTACTATTAATCTATTGAAATTTCCATGTTTAAAAGAAAATTTGTCCATGTAGGGGACCAAAACAAGTCGTACTCCAGAGGCCCACAGGTTTCTAAAGTTTTTCTCAAATGTGGGAGAAAAGTAGTATGTTACCTGGCAACCTTGGACGGGCTGAGGATAATGTTGTTTGTCCTCTCAACGTGTGGTGCTGTGATACAGAAAAGATGAGACATACACAATGAGCCTCCATTAGCATTTAACACCTGACCGACAGCCAAGCAAGTTAAACTTTGCTTGACTGTCGGTACAGCTTTCAACAGTGTAACTAGCAATCGTGCTCAAACACACCTGACTTCACACAGAAGTTCACTACACTTCTGTGTAGTGAACATACCCAATATACAATACTTCGTGCACAATCAAATACTTCAGGTAACTTCAGTAGCTAGCCCTTAGATCTATTGCATCACAAATGGCCATATTATCCCTTCAAACCAAACAAAGAATTATTTTAACATGCTCCATTTAATTTTTATCAAATGACAAATCTTTTCACGGGTGGCTTTTAATCCTTTATAGTTAGTGCTTTAACATAAATAACTTGTCCCTTTATCTCAGACCTTTTATATTTTTAACTATCAAAATAAAAATATATGAATTTGCTTATAACTATTTTTAAAAGTTTCTACCATTTTTATTCTTCACAAATAAAATATACTTCATTTTTTAAGCATTTTAGCTTTTAACTGCATCCACTGTTTTGACAGAACAGTATTTTACCCTTTACGCAAAACACTGACGACAAAACTGAAAAATATGCAACGCTCCTTTACTGCTAGGTCTCTTGACTAAGATGCTAACATATGGTTCCTCTGGTTTTTTGCAATAACCCACAAAGATATGTCCATTTTACAAATAAAGAGACCAAAACAATGTCCTTTGTGTGAGAACAGCTTCAAAATGTGCAGAATAAAGTAAGTTCAAAATGAATTCAGTAGTCACTCAGCTGTTTCTCAGCTAGCTTAGCACACATGTGCTAGGTCCGCTAGCATTAGCATTAATTTGTCTCCAAAAATATCTCCTGTTTTCTGCACAATACTGATCAGAAACAGCATAACGTGACTCACTAGTTGACTCTCAAGTCTACAACCTCTTCATTTCTAAAAGGTAAACAACATATATAAATCATAGTACATTTTTACTGAACCGTAATACAGAAAAGAGGAAAGTTTATTCTTCCTCTGTGTGCCCAACATTCTATATGCCAGCAATTCGACTGGTGCCCCTAGTGGCTGTATGTGGAATCACACTGAATAACTGAAATAACTAAAGAACTTATTAAATTAAGGACAGAAAAAGAAAAATAATGTTGGGGAGACTATTTATGCTTAGTGTTTTCATTTACTTATAACTTGTCTTCACCCCTTTACAAATACATTAGCATAAAAATGTATTTCCAGTCAACCAGTAAACTCATTTTGACCCATTTTGACACAATGACTTGGAGAGTTGTTCTCTTGTTCTGAGAAGATGGTTTGACGATAGTCAGAAAATAAATGCACAATTTTCAGCTTTAGCTTAAAAGAATCAATAGATATATTTTTAAGCCATCGACCCAAGAAATGTAATAATTTGTATTGAAACATTGAATTTTAACATGTTTGTCATGTGATTGTCTTATTTTAAAGGTGACAACACAAGGTGCTTACAGATCATGTAAACTAGAAACAAAATGATAGAAAAAAACATTTTCTTTTACAGACGTTCTCAGCTCAAACTTATATTCTAACTTTTTATTTTGCAGTTTGATTAAAATATTGTCTGTTCACTTTCATCATATTATAATGGGTCAAAATATTTCAGAGATTTGATGTTGCCATAGATTTTGGTTACAGGCAAGAGATGGAATTCAAAAAATAATGAAGTCGAAAATGATACCAGATTTTTTGAGGGGCTTCTTTCCTTTTCATAAGTTATTATCAACAAAATAGCCATTATGGTGGCAGGTCTGCTAATGAATGCTTATTTGAGGGGATCTGATTTGCTCAAGGCACAGTGTTTTCATGAGATGCGGGGTGAGGTGCAGTGTTTCTGCTGAACTAGATGAGAAACACCAATTAGCCATGTTTTAATGGCAGACAGAATAGCTTTTGAGAACAAAAGTCCAGCGGCATGCTTTCCACGAAAAATAAAGCTGTCAGTCAGGACACATGGGAATAAAACACTGGAAGTACAGGGAGGACATACTAAACAGGGCTAATTACATAGCTGACATTTCTTCCCTTCACACATCCCTTTGCAAAGCAATTTTTTCCACATTTCTTTTCCTCAATAAATCCACAACACTGTTTTTGTTTGGATTTTCAAAGAATTATGTGAGGATATTTAACAAGCAATGCAAAGTTAAGTCAGCTGTTTCCTTTGAGAACAATGCAAAAGAGATCAATGCGTGATCAATCCCATTTCAAGACCTGCTAAAACTTCTTTAAGAATGCCTCATTAATTTTCTCTCTAAAAAAATGCCAATCTTTGACAGCATGCCAGCAGCACTTACTGTGGTCCTTTTATTGGAAAATGAAACCCTCAGATCATTAATTATTCTTTTAAACCTCACTGACATAATTTAAGTGAGCAGTTACACTCGTGACTGGTAATTCCAGGTGGGACTTTTTTCTATGGTAATGCAAATGAAATCAGGAGTATTTAACATACAGCACAGAATGTATAACGAGAGAGTATTACAATTTCCATTCTGATAGAAACTATGAGTTTATAATAGCATTCATCCATCTATTGTTATCTTCTTATCTGACATTGTGCCCCACTTGTTTTGTGGTAAAACTCTTTCTTTGCCACAATGGCTCAAATCATTCTTTCTCTCTTGCAGTTCCATCATCCCATTGTTCATATCCAAGGAATTTGAACTCTTCCACTCAAGGCATAGACTAACCTTGCATGGCAGAAGCTACTGTATGTCCTTGACTTTGCCTTGAGGTTTTGTTCATATAACAAGGGGCAGCGCTGGTGGAATCCAACCTACAAAAGGGACTAGCCTGCTTTTCTTTGCCAAGAATGGTGTACAAAATGTCCTGAAATATTTGTTGAAGTTCAACATTAGGCCCCGGCCTTCGTTTTGGTCTTGGAAGAACCGTTGTTGACTCCATTCAAGGTCAAAGTCTCTCAAGGACTCAAGTTGCAGACCACAACCAGACCTTACCTTTCTTAAACATTGTGGAACACTGCATTGATCTGCCAATCAGCAGGTATAGCACTTCAATCACATAGATGATGTGAAAAGCTGTCAGAATAGCGTAGACTCTCTGTAGAGAGGATATTAGGGTGAGACAAGAGATGAAATATCACAAGTCAGATATCATATTACATCGACCACTAATCCCCTTCCATCAGCATACAAATGAAAAAGCTGACATCCTCATCTAATCAGGAAAGCCACATAAGTGAATCCTGTTGAAATTCCCTGTCTCTATAACAGCCCCGTTTGACAGGCTGTCAGGTTTGAACACCACCAGTTTTGGCCATGATGCATCTGTTACTGGGATCAAGGTTGACTTTCATGGATTAGCATCTGTCAGCTTTATTTTGAGCGACACCATGAGGCTTCAGAACTCCGATTACTGCCTGCGATGCTGATGGCCTCTTGTGACTGGCTCTGGCATCCTTGTCTCATCTGACAGAGCTGAAGTTGCCTCTTTTACAGGCAAGTGAAAAACCACAGAGTGTCTTCATACATCAGTGGTTCGAGGACTGCAAGTCCCATAACACCCCCCTGAATTTGACAGTTTGTTATAGTCTTGTGGCTTTTCGCTCAGTGCTTCATTTCAGAAACACAGAAATGTGGGGAAATACTCATCTCCCATTTAATTGTTGGTGCTCAAATGGATGTGTCGTTATGTAAATGGCATAAGGTGAAAATCTAAAACACTAACTGTAAATTGAACAACCTGTCCAAGGGTGACAAGGCTCTGCTTATTGATAAACCCTGAATCACAGGAGAAAGAGGGACAGAATGGGGGATGGAGGAAGGAGAGGGCAGAGGAATACAAAAACAATGAAGTGGAACAAATCCAACAGGCACAAGGCTTTATCTCATTCCCTCCGCTTTCTCCATCTTTTTTTCATTTTTGCTATCTTTCCTTATCTTAATGAGCACCACAGCTTTCTATCTAGGGATGGTGCCAGTGTGATACATCACAGGCGGGACACATTCAGAGGAGCGAGGACAGTAGCAGGGTGACAGTGATGGTGCCGTGGCGATTAAGAGTGCTTAGGTAGTCCCACTGATTCAGCGAGGGCAAAGGAGCACCATAATGCTACCCGAAATGGCAGAGGTGAACGTCCTTTCGTCGAAAACGTGGAGTGCATGCGTGTTCAGAAAAACAATTATAAAGACAAAAGACTGAATAAAAATGAGAAAGCAAAGGAGGCTTGGTGTTATGAAAAACAGCAGATTAAATCGACACCTAACTCCTGCTTGAGTTCCCGACTGGAAAACCACTACAAACATTATTCTTTATCTTTTATGAACGTACTGGTTAAATCCGATGAATTAGTTCATACATTGCACCAATTTAGAACAAGCTTCATCACTAGCTTAGAATTCGTATGTTAAAAAAAAAATAAATTTAGTCCACATTCAATGATGTAAATTACTTTCAATGAAATCCAGTCTTTCAGTTAAATTCGGATCCACCAGCAAACTGTCTAATGCTGTTCAATCACAATACAATAACACCAAGCCATCCCAAAAATAAAAGGTTGGCCTGTCCAAGGAAGCTCAGCTAATTGCATTGAGACTTTGACATGGCCGCCATCCCTCACTTTGGGAAAACAGTAAAGTAGAGAAAACATTTCATTGTTCAGGCTCAGACTGAATGGCCATCTGGAAAATCCAGCTGGGAATGGAGATGAGTAGAAGGAGGACAAAATATTTCATATAAAATAAGCGACTTCATAAATATTCACATTCAAAGTTGAATAGCCTTTGTATCTTCACATGGAATATCCTCAACTACCCCGATTTGTGTGACATGTGACCCTCTAAACTACTGAGAGTGACATGAGTGACATTATGTTTATCCAGCTGAGTACACTTTAGTTTTAGAGTCGGCTATAATTGCTTATTGGCCGGAGTTAAAATTGTCTGGTCATAAAGTCAGAACCACTCACTGCCCAAAGTCTGAGTGTTCACTTGCATAACACGATCTCATTACTCAGAGGCGACATCGC